AACCCGAAACGTCAACTTTCCAGCTCCTCTGATGCTGCCTGGCCTGCTGTGTTCATCCAGCTCCACACCTTGCTACCTCAGACTCCAGCATCGGCAGTTCCTACTATCTCTGGGTACTAAATTGATGTTGTGACAGAAGTTCACCTGGCACAACGTAAATGCAAACCATTATAATACCAACACCACTAAATGACTCATTTGTTTATGAAATGACATGGTAGATTAGTACTGCTAAATTTTTCATCAGTTTATATACAATTTCCATTTAAATTAAAGAATAAAACAAATTCCAAATAAATACTGTACTCACCCTTGCTCACTTAGAGGATAATGGGCCATCTCTACCCAGCATTATTAAGTAAAATGTACTCCTCAGAAGAACCCTGTGCTCTATTGAACATTCTTGCTTCCATATTTGCTGTAATATTTTCTTAAACAGCCACAAAAATTGACCAACAACTATCATCTTTGTTGGATATCACTTAATCTCTTTGTCAATAATTATGCTCCATGTCTAGGCTACTGTTTGATTTGAGGCTATAAAATCATATTCATACTGCGGGATATGTACGTTTGTTATTGTGTGTCTGCTATTGCTGTCTGTGATGGTTGTCTACATATATTTGGCATTGACGTTAATGGAGATTGACCGTGGCTAGGCTGTAACTAAAAATGATCTTTTATTGAACATTATATTCTAACTACAAGCAAGACATTGCATGAGACTTTTGCACAAAATCGTCTCCCAACAGTTCTGCCGTCAGTTATTAATAAATTTAAAATTCCCCTTTACATGACAATCGTACCCCTACCCCATTCACACCTCTATTCTCTGATTCTACCCAATGCATGGTTTACATTATACTACATTGCCCCCAAGTCTCTACATTTATCTCTTGGTCACCGAGATTGTCATTGTGGTGGTTTCCCTAGTCTACCTGATCTTCTTTACCTCCTCCAAAGTGAGTTGAGAATGACCCAAACACTCTATAGTTTATGTCCACCTCTGGAAAGTATAAAATGAATCACCGGATAATGTCAGTTTGCTAATCAGGCTGTTTTCTAGGTTTCCTGAATGACTGGTGCATTCTGTTGAAGATGTTCTTTTCATAGAATCAGTGTGTTCTTCTCACTATTCCATTTTCAGCCCTTAGAAGGTAAGAAGGTGTTGATTCTGATCATGCATCCACACTGACTCTTCAGACTAGAGTTCTGCTTGATCGTGTATTCTACGGTGTTGATTATAATTTCTTGATTGATTAATATCATACTCATCCCCCTTTCTCTTTCCAAATCAGCTGCAGTGAAACTTGTTATAAGTGTGCACCCTGGAGCACCAAGTTGAGTCCACAGTCTCCTTCCCTTCAGAAATGCACATGGAGCCAGGCCATCCTGGAGTGGGATAGAATGATAACAGTGCTAAGCTAACTTCATCATTCACCTTCAGTTACTTATCCTTACTCCACTTTCAGCCTCAGCTTACAGGAACTTATAGAATCCTTACAAGTATGGGAGCAGGCCCATTTGGCCCATCGAGTCCATAACCGATCCTCCAAAGAACATCCCATCCAGACCCACCTCTGCCCACCATATCCCTGTAACCCTGCATTTCCCTTGGCTAATCCACCTAGCCAGCACATCCCTAGACATTATGGGCAATTTAGCATGGCCAATCCACATCTTTGAACCATGGAAGGAAACTAGAGCACCCGGGGGAAACCCACACAGACACAGGGAGAATGTACAAAGTCCACACATACTGTCACCTGAAGGTGGAATCAAACCCCAATCCCTGGCAGTGTGAGGCAGTAAGTGCTAACCCTTGAGCCACCGTGCTGACCTGAGTGAGTTAGTTCTATAGACAGATCCTTAGGATTCTGTGAATAACATGAAGCATTCATTTGTAAATTGTGGTCCATTTTCCGAAAAGGCTAGGTCTGGAATTCCACAAGTAGCAAAAATTTCGTTTAGAAATCTAACGACAGCTTCAGAGGTTGGACTATGTCTATGTTTTACTCTATCAACCTGGAATAGCAGTCAACTGCAATCAGAAATGTGTTGTCTCTGAGCTCAGTAAGATCCTTTCCAAGATGTTCTCACTTTCTGGATGGATGTGAAGGCAACATCAGTTGATCCTTTTGCTTCTATCTAAGAAGGGCAAATATATAGGGTGGTACAGTGGCTCAGTGGTTAGCACTGCTGCCTCACAGTGCCAGGGACCCAGGTTCAATTCCAGTGTCAGGCAGCTGTCTGGTGGAGATTGCACATTCTCCCTGTGTCTGCATGGGTTTCCTCCAGGTGCTCTGGTTTCCACCCACAGTCCAAAGTTGTGCAGGTTAGGTGGATTGGTCGTGCTAAATTGTCCATAGTTTTCAGGGATGTGTAGGTTAGATGGGTTACCCATGGGAAATGTGGGTAATTACAGGGATAGGGTCAGGGGTGGGTGTAAGTGGAATGGTCTTCAGAAGGTCAGGGTGGACTCAATAGGCCAAATGACCTACTTTCACACTGTAGGGATTGCATAAAGCAGCTTTATCTTTTCTTCTGGTGATGTTGAGATCCTTGGTCACATAGTAAATTTTGCAGCCTACTACAGCTTTTCATAATCCTCAGTTGACCTTAGTGTAACCTTTGAAGCACATCAAATCTAGGACTGTATGTATGACAGATCCCTCATCAAACATCAACAATTTATCCACAATAGTGCAATGTCTTCTTTGTTCAAAGTATTGTTTCAGGGTAGGATTATATGGAACATATCCTGGCCATCCTTTGAAACAATACTCACAGACTTCAGTGCATTCTATAAATGACTTTTGTTTCTTCTGCATTTCACTTAACCATTGTGATCGCTGGTAGATATGTCGTCATTATTGAAGTATAGGTCTCCACATCTTTGACAAAATCTATGTCCTCTTGCTTAAGCTTTTGCTACAGGAATACTTGCTAATGCTTCTGCTTTTCTCTTTCTCCCTGGATGTGCTCAGTTATTACATCAAATCTTATCAGCCTCAAGCAAAATATCTGCACACATCCATGGCTAACTCTTTAGTGTTTAATAAAACAAACAAAAGTTTGTGATCTGTCTCAACAGTGAACAGAAAGCCCAGCTCATAGTCTGCAAATTTCTCACAAGCCCAGGAAGCATCCAATGTCTCTTGTTCAACTGCGGCATGTCCTGGATGGTTTAGATGTGTTGTACACCAATGTTCATTTACCGTCTCTCTGAATCTGGAAGCGTACTGCTCCTAGTCCAATCAATGATGCATCTGTGGCAGTAGCTGATGGAAATTAAATTCAAATGAATGCTAGTCTTAATACTGGTGACTGTAAAGCTAATATTGATCATTGTGAAGACCTGAGACAACAAGGTGCAGAACTGGATGAAAATCTGATGAAGGGTCTAGGCCCGAAACGTCAGCCTTTCTGCTCCTATGATGCTGCTTGGCCTGTTGTGTTCATCCAGCTCTGCATCTTGTTGTCTCAGATTCTCCAGCATCTGCAGTTCCTACTATTTCTGATTCAATTGTGAAGACCTATCTGGTTTGCTAATATCTTTTAGGGCATGAAACCTGCCATCCTTACCTGGTCTGGCCTTTATATGACTCCAGATCCAAGAACTTACAGAGGTTTACAAAATCATGAGGGGCATGGATACGATAAATAGACAAAGTCTTTTCGCCAGGGTGGAGGGAGTCCAAAACTAGAGGGTATAGGTTTAAGGCGAGAGAGGAAAGATTTAAAAGAGACCTAAAGAGCTACTTTTTCATGAAGATGGTGGTGCGTGTATGAAATAAGCTGCCAGAGGAAGTGGTGGAGGTTGGTACAATTACAACATTTAGAAGGCATATGGATGAGTATATGAATAGGAAGGATTTAGCGGGATATGGGCCAAATGGTGGCAAATGGGACTGAATTTATTTAGGATGTCTGGTTGGCATGGACGCGTTGGATCGAAGGCTCTGTTTCCGTGCTGTACATCTCTATGACTCCATGCCTCTAAATGTTAGTGATTTTTAACTACCTTCAGAAATGGCCTAGCAAGCCACTTAGTTCAAGGACAATGAGGATGGGCAATAAATGCTGACCTTGCCAATGATACCCACATTCCATGAAAAAAAAAGGAAAAATGAACAATTGTAGGCAGTCCTGGATCAGAATGAGCCAATATGTCTGGTGAAATTAGCAACTTTTTTTATTCTTTTGAATGAGATTTGTTGGTTCTCTTCCCAGTAACATGCTTGGTCCTGTCTTAGCTATTGGCGATGGTTCACTCATGTGTAACAAGCTGGTTAAGAACTTTCCTGATTGATTCACCATCCCCATAAATTTCTGCAACTCTAGAGCATTGAGAAGAGGTAAAAATGTTTAACTGCCTTCATCTTCTGAGGATCTGCTCTGATTCTTGATGAATGTACGACATGGCATTGAAATTTAAGAGCTGTTGTAATAACATTTGTAATTGACAGTAAGTCCTGGTTCTAGTAGGTGTCACAGCAGAACTCACGGTCTGGAATTATTCTCGAACTCTGTTGTTAAGGGTAGTGATGTAACTCAAGTAACGGAACTACACACTCTATCCTTCAAGAATATTTGTTATTGTTCTTTGATTAATCTGTAGCACAGATATGATGCCGAACAGAAGTCAGTTAAAACACGATTTCGCAGAAGGTCTGATGAAGGTTGTAAGCAATTTATCTTTTACATCCAAGGGTTATTATCAAAAACATTTATTTGTGTCTAACCTAGTGGAAATTGAGCTCATCCCTAGCTTCATTAGACTCTCATTCACAGATGCCATTGGTGAACCTCTGTTTTAACACTTCTGTTCAACAAAGGGAAATCAACACAGATTCAAAGTGAGTCATTTGGTTTCAGTATTTGAACAATAGCTGAACCCCAACTTGTTTCTTTTTTACAGATGAAATCGCTCCCATTATAGCTTTGATTTTTTTTTTAATTTTTCTTTTCCTTTACCTTTTGTGAGAAACTTTCCTTTGTATGAATAGATACGCTGGTTTTGTATCTGACCATAATGTGATAAGCTGATTTCAACTGCCCAAGATCTCTAGTTAGTTGTGGAAATTCTGTTTTAAATTATTTTGGCTGTCTTGGGTTCTCAATTGCTTTATTTTATAGATCTGTGCAAGCCTTCTATTTAACAATGAACTGTCCTGGTTCTGGATTATTTACAAGATTTCTAATCTTCTTTGTACTGAAGTAAACTGTAATTTGCCCCATAACTTTAAATTGTTTGCCTCGAGGACCATGAATTTGTACAGTGAATGATGAGAGAAAGTTTTGCTTTAACCATGGTTCTGTGTCAGAGAGAAATTAAATTGATGCTGCATGTGTCCAATTTGTAATTTGCTTTACATCAGTTGACCCAAATTTGTGCACCCCAATGGTTTCTGTCAGGTCCTGTAATTTCTTGGATGGGTAGAACTTAAACATGTTTGATGTCTTCAGATTCTTGAATTCCACTAGCTTTCAGGGGTTTGGCTTTTAGTTTCTGAGCTGGGAACTATTTGCTGCAAAATGCAACTTTAAAATGTCTGCTCCCTTCACAAGAATGGCACTCTGTATGTTTGTTAGGACAATCTCTGTATTAATGCAGCCTTTTCCCATCACATCGAGAACACGAGAGTGTTGGAGGTTACTACACCTTCTTCCATCCTCGACTTGCTCCTGTGTCGATACTACTCTGGTACCCTACAAATATACTGTCAGTTGTTTTCCTCCATAAAGTCTCCCTGTTTCCTCAAATGAATGCTTGATTTTGATTTCTATCTTGTGCTACCTGGTTATCTGTGCAGTCTGTGATAACATTATCTCCTTCACTGATTGCAGCAAGTTGAATAATGTTTCCTCTATGAATCCTACAACAATTCAGTCTTGAATCATATTGCCTTGAAGGGCTCCATTTCACAATTCCCAGCTAGCCTATATAAGTCATGAATAAAGGAACCAGCATTTTCTCCCAGTCACTGAATGCTTCTGTTAAAGTTTGCCCCCTTTATTATAATGTTCCTTCTTAGGATGAAGGATGTACCAGGTATTTTTATAACTTTTTTTGGATACAACCATTTCTTCATCAAATCCCTTTATGACCAAGATGCTGTCTTCACTACAGCCTCTGGTGAAGAGTACTGACCTATTGCTTACTTAGCTTTTCTTGCTAATCCTAAAGCTATTTTTATAACTTGTAAAGCCACAATGCCTGTTCACCCATGGCATTTCAGCGTGATTCATGCCTGAAAATGTTTTCAAAACACTCGAGTAAGAACAGAGAACAGTACAACAAAGGAAGAGCAAGGCTCTTTTGATTGCTTCTCTTTACTCTAGCCATGCTTCACATGCTTTTTGATCATTTTTTGTTTCTTCTATTTTGTTGCCATTTCTCATGATGTCTCTCCACTTGCTGTCATGATTTGATATCACTGTCTCTAATTGTTGTCTTATTATCTTCGGAATTGAAGTTGGAAGAGGCTGCATCAAGCTAAGCTCTAGGTAATGATGACCTTTTCCTGAGCATTACCTTCTAACTATGTACAGGACAAGGCTTTGTACAAAGCTCTTACATAGAACCATTACCCTGCAGTACTGGTTGTCATGCAATCTTACGTCACTGATAATATAGACTACTTTATTGACAAATTTAACACTGAACCTTTGCACTTCAGCATATTCATGAATGATAGTATAACAAGTGCTAGTTAAACATGTCCTTTCCTGTGCAACCATTTTAATTCTAAGTGCATTGAGAACATATTCTCTTGTTTAGAGCTTTGTTGTTAACCATTACAACACTGGAAACACGTAGAGCTCAGTGCATGAAAGATCGCAGGTCTTTAATGCAATACATTTTTCCTACATGCATATCACCCCACTGAACTATCTACCCATCTCTTAGTTATTTGAACTAAAATTGGTAAGAGAAAATGCAAAAGCCTGTCTAGTTCTTTTTAAACTCCCTGGCAGTCACATGATTCAACAACATTTAAATCGTTGGAAAATCGTAGAAATCAACCTCTATCAATTCGTCCAAAACAGACCCAAACGTGATGTGAAGTAAACATCAATGCTGGAGAGCTTTGGAAGCCTAAATCCAAATACATTTGTTCATCCATATATTCTACACTTAAAGTTCTTGACACATGACATGTGATATCTCAAAATGTTATGTATCAGATGAAATTGATCAAAATGAAATTATCAAAATGAAAGAAGTTTTAAAAGGAGCAGTTGTGTTACCCCTTGTAACTTGGCGAGAATACAAATATGTCAAGGCAGAAAAGTTTGAAGAACGATTCCAGGAATGAGATATGGATAAGTTGGAATGAAGGGTCTGTTTCCGTTTTGCATGACTTTACGACTCTATGAGACATTTCAGTTACATAGGTGGATTGGAGAAGCTGGAATTGTTCTTCGTGGGAAAATAGGACATTGAGAAGATTTGACAGAGGTGTTCAAAATTGTGATGGGTCTGGACAGAGTAGATAGGCAAACTGTTCCCATTGGCAGAAGGGTCCAGAACAAAAGGGATTTAAGATGATTGGCAAATGGTGATGGACTGCAGTGGTTCAAGAAGGCAGCTCAGCACCACCTTCTCGAGGGCTGTTAGGGATGGGCAAGAAATGCTGGCCATCCAGCGGCGTCCACATCTGACAAATGAATCTGGGTAGGTTCTGGGATTCTGTAACAGAGTGTGTGGTGATTCAATCTGTCAAGCCCTTCAAAGGAGAATTCAATAATGACTCAAAGTGAGAAAATTTGCTTGGCTGTAGTGAGGAAGTGGGTTTAGTTGAATTGCTGTTCCAGAGATTTGGCATTGATACAGTGTGATGAAGAATCTCCTTCTGTGCTATAACAATTTATAATTTAAGAATCAATTATAAATGGTATTGGGCAGCACGGTGGCTCAGTGGTTAGCTCAGATGTTCGATTCCACCCTTGGGCGACTGCCTGTGTGAAGTTTGCACATTGTCCCCGTGTCTGGGTGGGTTTCCCTGGGTGCTCTGGTTTCCTCCCACAGTCCAAGAATGTGCAGGTTAGGTGGATTGGCCATGGGAAATACAGGGTTACAGGGACAAGATAGGGGGTGAGTCTGGGAGGAATGCTGTTCAGAGGGTCGGTGTGGAATTGATGGGCTGAATGGCCTACTTTCACACTGTTGGGATTCTATGGGAGGAAATTGGTTTGTGTAGCTAAAGGAGCTATGCAGACTAACATTGACTCACCTGTGGTACTATGTGGCCTGAACAGCGGTCTTCAATCATATCAATGAAGAATATGGTGCAGGTAATTGTCTCCTGAAAATCAATATAGCTTTCCATGACACTGGTGCCATGCAAAGGAATTTCCCCCCACTAAATGTTGCTGCAATATTAATAGCGGTTTAACTCTCAGACTCTTGCACATTTCTTCACATTCTTATCTCCAGCTCTTTTTAAATTTTATTTTTATTTTCTTCCCGATTTTGTTCAGCTTTTTCTAATTCTCATTTGATCTTATTTAACGTTTAAGATTTCTTTAAGTGACCTTCTCACTCAGTCTTCCATTCTTATCGCCTTTCTGGTGTTGCCATTCACATTTGCTTCTTAAAGCCATCAATATTGGTGACCTTGGGAGATAACCTATCCTTCTGTTTCTGTCACTGATCAAACTGTGCAGTGCCTCCGGTATTCTGAATTCTGAAAAATGTCTAAAATGGACCTTCTATCATCCATCTTATTTCTATGAACAGGCATCACCCCTCCACTGCTGGAAAATGGAAACTGACAGCTAATGTAGCGACTCAGGTTTCTTTTACTTTCTTTTTTGTTTGGTCCAGCCATTCTCCACTGATAGGAATGAAGTCAAGCGCAGTTAAAGTAACAAAAGAAACATAAATTTGCTCTATTCAACAAGGGGAGGAAATAAAAAGAATTCTATTAAAAGAACTTGAGGCAAGTCTCTGTCTTCTGAAAATTCTGGTGAAAAATTGGAGTGATAAGTGACATAAATGCGGATAATAATGGTTCCACTGCATTCACTGACAAACAGAAAGAAATGTTTTCATCACTCTTGTGCTTCTGTTATTTTTTTTAAACCTTTGCTTTAAATTATGATTGGATAGGGACCATGAGCGAGACCGGGATCGCAAGAACTACAGTTCTCGAGACAGAGAGTCCAGGCGACGTCGGTCTCGCTCCTACTCGCCAATGAGAAAACGGAGACGAGATTCACCAAGTCATCTGGAACCTCGACGGATCACCAGGTCAGTAAAATACTCCTCTGGAAATAGAGATCACTTACTTTCACTCTTTGCATTTATTCAGTATTCACACCTGGGATTTTCAGAATATTCTTAGCTCATCATCAACCACATAGATTGGTCCAAAGAAGCTTCTTTAAACTGTTGGACCTCGCCACATTTAATGGGCCCACCTTACCAACTGGTACTTGTGTGTCCTGGTCTTACTTGCCCTTCTCATTCTGCCTGTTGATCACTCTCTGTCTTTGGGAATGTTTTCCAGGACTACGTCAGTTCTAACCTTGCATAGGGCAGCCTTTTAATCTGTATCCATTTATTCTGCTGCCTGATGTATGAATTTAAATGTATTGCCTGGAGGATAGTGTCGTGCTGTTATAATGATGCTGCAACATGCCGTCCATTAAGGTACAGCTTTTGCCCACATTGGAGACATCTTAACTTTAGGTGATAGTGCAAAACAGTTAATGTCAGAAGAGCCACTGCACATTTATTACAGAGCAAATGCTGCTTGATTGCAGTGTTGAGATCCCTCCCTTCACTTTGTTGAGGATCAAGAATAGACGGACGGGATGCCAATTGTTCAGGCTGGATGTTTCTCGCTTTAGGTGGACAGGATATGACTGAGTAATTTTTCACATTGCCAGGTAGATGACAGTGTTTTAGCTGTACTGCTGCAACAGGCTGGCCAGCAAATTCTGAAGCAAAAGTCTTCAGCACTATTAGTGGAATCTTGTAGGACCCATAGTCTTTGCAGTATCCAGTGCCTTGAGCTGTTTGTTGATATCACATTGAGTGAATTGAATTAGCTGAAGGTTGTTGCAAACATTTCAGCCTTAACTTTTGCACTGATGTGTTGGGGTCCCCTATTATTGAGGATGGCGATATTTGTGAAGTCTTCTTCCTCTGTTGGTTATTTACTTGTCCGCACCATACATGACTGGATGTGTCAGGATTACAGAGCATAGATCTGGACAGGTTTTATAGAAAGCAGCTGAACCCCCTAATTGAAAGGTCACAAACAAGGGGCGTATAATTTTACGGTGAAAGACAGAATGCTTGGAGGGGATTATGAGGATTTTTTTTCCACCCGGAGGGTGTTAGAAATCTGGAATGTACTGTCTGCAAGGCTAGTTCAGGCAGGAAACCTCATGACCATTAAAAAGTATTTGGATGAGCACTTGAAGGTATAGGCCAAGTGCTGGAACATGGGATTAGCGTAGATTTACAATAGTTTTTGTTGGTGCAGACTCAATGAGCTGAAGGGCCTCTTCTGTACTGTATGATTCCATGATTTTAGCCGTGAGATCACTTAGCTGTGTCTGTATGATTCCATGATTTTAGCTGTGTCTGTATGATTCCATGATTTTAGCCATGAGATCACTTCGCTGTGTCTGTATGATTCCATGATTTTAGCTGAGATCACTTCGCTGTGTCTGTATGATTCCATGATTTTAGCCGTGAGATCACTTCGCTGTGTCAGTATGATTCCATGATTTTAGCTGAGATCACTTCGCCATGTCTGTATGATTCCATGATTTTAGCTGAGATCACTTCGCCGTGTCTGTATAATTCCATGATTTTAGCTGAGATCACTTCGCCGTGTCTGTATGATTCC